CACCGTAAAATTATCTGGTTTGTAATGGACGTTTTCCAAAATAAAATTTTTCCCAACAGAATATTTGCATTGGCCTTATTCATATGAAGAAAATAAATTTAAAGAGCGCTATTAAGTGACCTTTTCCTACACCTTTTCGATATATGGAGCTGTTAAAGCCTTAATAATTTTTTTTTCATGAATTTGAGTAGCAGACTTTAATTATTATCTCACCTAAAATATTTTTGGCCCCCAATTAGAATTTCTGCAAATTCTCCATTTAAAATATTTCCCTTCTAGATTCAACAAACTTTGGCAACTTAGCAGGGGCATTCTAATTAACATACCCCGAAAATTACCTATATTGATAAAAGGAAAAATATCGATTGCAAATCATTACTTGACAGGCGGAAGTAATGTTTTGTCAAATTAGCTTCAAAAGAAGCATTAAAGGCTCTCCCACGCTTTGGACAAATACGATACAGAGCAACAGGCACGCATCAGGCAGAATCCCCATACCGCTGCTCAGTACAAGCATCGGCTTCGAGAGAGTCTCACCTCGGTAACGTGATAGTTTTAGCGTCGCGAAAGCATTACCAACGCCCGGCGGCAAATTTTCACAAGACAACCCAAAAGTAAAAATAAAAACTACATGGTTTAAAATAGGAAAAGTGCCAAAAAGTAGAAAATATTCAAAACCTACTCAACTGAGCCAAATCGGATATAACTTTTTCCACTCGGCTCGTAAACGTTAAATATAGTATTAGTGTAAAGGTATATGGAAAGTACAGTGGTGAAATCGTGCAAAAATTGCTCTAGTTTCCATAGAAATTTATACAAAAGCTGCATAGGGCGTAAACAGTGCTCACAGCATAACGAAATTTAAAAGTTTTTCAAAGTGTAAAATGTTCATATGAAATAGTACGTAAGTCAGTTTGTTTAAATTTAGAAAATCGAATGCAAGCTTTTGGTAGTACAGTTTTCCTACTAACGGTAGTGGTGTCGAAAAGTCATACCTCCAAATCGTACGTTCTTCACGCTAACGGCAATATAAATTAAGTATATATAGGGTATTCAAAAAGAAGAAAAATCATTTAAAAATACTTGTTACATAAACATACCAAGAACCGAATTTTGCACGAGTATCATCGATTTGGAAGCGCTTTCAACATCGTCCCGATGTCAAGGCATTGGTGAGTTAACATTTAAACTTTCTTTTATTGTACTATACGATAGCGAGTCTCTGTTAAGCGTACTCAACCGAAAATCTCACGGTTAGCTCATATCACTTAACAGCGGCGCGCTATGTTATTGCCTGTCAAACAGCTTAACACATGCAACGCTACATATATAACGTGTGCAAGTAT